CATCATTGTCCGCACTTGCAGAGAATGTACCACTTTCGTCACCCGAAACGACGAGATAAAGAAGCTTGAGGCGCGTCTTTATCACAACCATTACAACCACGATAACTTTCACTCTGCAAGATAATGGCTTACGAGCGAATTGGGGTGTTCATAGGGTTGTCTGGAGCGTCGTAAGGTGATTGCCCGTGCTCTTGTTGGGGACTGGTTTTACGTCCAACCCTGCTGAACCTTCGACCTCGTCCAAGGCGCCTACTGCTAAAGCGGTCTCTGTCTTTCTCTACAGGGACACTTATATAGTACTGGTTTATGAATGAGCATCTACTACCCGAAACACTTCGCGGGATTTGTCTCACGGCTGAACTTGAGAGGAGGAGTGGTCTCGTCCAACTGGGCCGAGTCCTAGCTAGGCGTAGGCTGGGAAAAAGGTCTTCGTTAGTGCCGGCACAGGAAATGAGTATCATATTCGTAGAATGCCATGTAAACCCTGTATGATGCTTCATAAAATTCGGTGAAATATGATGGGTGCACCAAACTTACACCTATCAGCGCTTATTGGCGCCTTTGCTAAAGATATTAGCTACACGTAAATGATACCATTGTCTTAGTATGCGAGCTCATCCCAGTTCTGTAGAAAGAGGGTCACATTTACATCTACTTGGTTAAAAAAAGCGGTAGCGCCAACCAAACAAGCGCCAGATGGCGCCCTTGTTGAAAAATGTATGACACAATTGTAATCACGACATTAAGTCACCCTAGTATGCAAGTTCATTTCAATTCTCATGAAAAAAGGAGGTAGAGCCGAGTTGCACCGGCTCCATTGTGACATCAAATGTCTCGGCACCAAAAACAATACTGAATTCATAATCCGAACTCTAAAGAACCTGGTATGCCACTTGTATCACTTTGAAATAGAATACTAATAGCACCACTTGGCACAAAACGGCGTCGACGCCAAAAATAAGCGTTATGTTCGTGATCGGGACACTGGGTATCCGTGTAAGAAAAAGATGAGGTTAAGATTCTGGGGAATCGAGTAGCCTGAAAATTCTACCAGGACAGTTTCATTTACATGACTTACACCTTGGTATTCGTTCTCCTTCGGATATTTGTCAGTACCAAGAAAGAGCATGTGCTCGCAGAAGTGCGCCAGCCCTTGCAACTCCCATGGATCCATCAGGCTTCCTGTAATAAATCACAACAGTGGATTGAATCACTACAGAATACTCAACCCGTCAAAAGAAGATATTCGAAGTTTGAAAGTGTTCCTTAGTCTCACGGAAAAAGCAGTGCATTCCATTGAACGTTAAGTAATAGTGGCCTACCGACATTAACATCCATTGCAGCGGCAGATTTATCTGTAGTAGGATCCGATACCAGTAGTACCCGGAGGCCATTTGTGAGTTCAAGTCCTCGATACTGCAATAGAATAAATTGTTCTTCTTAGG